ATGGACACCTCCTTTTTCTCTAATGTAGAAGCTTCAAGAAATCAGGCCCAATACTAAAACAGGCAAATGAGCAAAGGTAAAACCGTATTCACACCAACCCCACGCCCCTTCAGCATCCCCACCTGGGTCATCCCTCCTCTTTGCATCCAAACCTGAGCCTGTTAGAGGTGCTGAGGAGAAGCTCAGTGGGAAAGCTCACTTTGGAGAGGACACCCACTTTACAATGTTAACTTCTCTCTCCATTTTCCTTTTCATTTCCTCATGTCATTTTTTCTTGTTCCTTGTCTCCCAGGATGTCTCCCATGTAAATTCCTCACCCCTAGACCCACCTTTTCCCTCCCTTTTCCCAGTGACATACAGCAACCCCAGGAAGGAGCCCATAGTCCTTGCAGGCCCTCAAAAATCACCAAATCCTTTGCAGCTACTGAAGTTACTCTCAGGGAGACAGAGCTCCTAAATCCCTTGTGTCCCACCTCTCCTGCACCAGGTGTTCCTGCACAGCCAGGCTGACCCTGGTGGTCTGTTCTTCCAGAGATTTTCCTCAGCAGAGGTGGGAAATGTTATGAAAAGATTTCCAGTTCTTTCTGTTTTCACCCAGATGATGGGCACTGACGTGTAGGAATTAGCTGAACTACTGCACAACAGTCACAAGTAGAAATTCTTCCTTCATTAATTGTAAAACATCATTTCTTACATGGCAAGAATAAAGATAGAGGGAAGCTTCCAGTAAATGCCTAAATAATTTCAACTCTTATTTGAACAAAAGCCTTTCTCTCAGCAGCATCACACATGCTTTTATTTGGGACCTTTTCAAGCATTGTTTCTGTTAGGAGGAAAAAATTCTGTTGGATTGTCAAGTCAATCTGTTGCCCTCTGAATTATAAACTAATTCTTAGAGCTTAATCTCTTTTCCCTACATCTTTTTGTCCTCAGTTTGTTTTTGCTCACTGCAACTTGCCAAAGTTCGCCAAAATTTACAATGAACCTAGTGCAAGAATTAGGGTTATGGGCCTGGTAGAATTTGGACTTCCCACTTACTGCAGAAGTAACAGAAAAGTATTTTGATTTGTAGCATCTAGGAAATTCTTGTCAACTTTGCCCAGAGTCCTTCTGTTGACTTTAAATAAAACTCACCATTAGTAGAAAATCTGCCTCCCACTTCCCTGCTGTAGGGAGACTGTCCTTCAGAGAAAGATGAAAATGCAGAAACAGCCTGTCTCACACTTACAGGCTTTCTAACAGCCAAATTCTGTGCTCCTCCTAAACAGGCCAGCCCAAAAAGAGACGATACAAAGGAGAAATTCACCAAGCTCAGCAGTGAGTGCTGCCCATAACACTGTTGTAGGATGCTGTTGTAGGATCCACAGAGAGCTGCACAGGGGCCCTGGTACAGGCCCCTATCATATCTGATGTTGTGGGTGGAAATATAATCCCACAGAACTTTCACAAATGTCTGCAAAAAGCTCTGTTACTACAGACATTGAGTCAATCACTGTAAATTCCATTCTAAAATAAATGACAAGTTACACTGACTTGTTTGCCTTAACTATAGACAGGCCTGCCAATGTATGTTGTTGCTGAGGTTATAGCTACTGCATTGTGATACACAACTGGTTCTCTTTTATAAATAGATCCATTTTTGTGCATTTCATCCAAGATATAAATTATACCACTGACAATACCAACTGGAAACTTTCCAAATGGGTCTGATTTTGGTATACTAAGACAACTGCTTATTACAGAGGAAATGTTAAGGAATACTTTCAAAATGTGGATTTTCTGTAAAGCTTTTCTGATGTTTTCTTAAGTTTGCTGTGTTCTCTTTATTGTTCGTGTACTTTATGTTTGGAATCAGATGCTGATTGGGGTCTCCTTCTTTAATTTCTCTGGAAAAATTGCCCTGTGTATGGTAGAACATCTTCTGGTTTTCATTATCATTGAAGGCAAAGACTATCAGCTACTGTAGCTGTTTATACTTATGAGTAGGTAATCAAAATAATCACTGGTTGATAACAGTTCTTCAAGAAAAAGAAACTTCACTTTATTGATTTTTTTTGTTGTTGTAGTAATAGGAAGACCTCATTTTTTCCTATATTTTTTCAATAACACTTCAGTTCTTGCTGCTTGAATATGTAGGAAATAATTTTGCATGCAACAAGAATTTAGCAGCTAATATTTTGTCTAACTAGGAAATAGATGATTTTCCAAATCCACAAACAAATCATTACTGGATCATGCTCAAGACCTGTCTTGCAGAGTTGCAGATATGGGACTATGGAAGTAAGACATATTTTGACACCAGCAGTGGTCAGTTGTTGATGTCAGACCCCATTGCTGCATCCAGCCTGGCCTGGAAACCAGCTCAGGGAAGGGCACCCAGACAGAAACTGCTCCCTGAGCCCAGACTGGATACCCCCAACCCTGCAGAGGCTGGACTAGAGACCCCCTGAGGTCCCCTGAGCCTGAATGATCCTATCCTGACATGGTATTGTGACAGAACTACTGCTATTGAGAGCCATAAGTGTTTCTGTTTAAAGGTTTGTAATGGCTTATTTCCACAGACAAAACATCCTCAGCTGGTACCTGATCATTTGCAAGCAGCTCTTGTTGGAGATTAAATTTTGCTAGGAGTTAGACTTTGATGCTGCCAGATGCTGAAAGCTTGAAGTATGATTCAGCAAGGACCTTAAAAATAAAAAAAAAAAACCTTTTAAAACGCTTCTAAAACCCACACATGAATGATTCAAGCTCCTCAGAAGTTGCCTCGTCCCATTTCAAAAGACGGAAAAAGAAGTAAAATTTGTCACAAATACAAAAAAAAAAAAAAAAAAAAAAAAAAAAAAGCAAAAAGCAGTACACATTGGGCTTGGGCTTGCTGTGCCAAAAGCAAAATTTTATCATGTGCATACTAAGGCACTAAGCTGAATTCTTATTCTACAATCAATTTCATACAATTTCTTCCAGTATCAGTTGCAGGATCTAGTCTATTTGCTAAAAGCTATGACATAAACAGTAACATGGGTGAAGTTGTATCAAAATATTTATCATCTTTTGCAGTGTCTCAAAAAACTGATGGATAAGTCACTGTGCCTGTAATTAAAACATGTAGTACTTCTCTGGCTATAAAATTTGAAATCTGGTTTCTAGCACACTTTTAAACCTGTATTTTAATTATTTCTCAGTTCCAACACAAAACAAAAAAAATAAATTTAGCAGCTAATATTTAGTCTTGATATGTTTGGAGACTTCTTGAACTATGATAATATCTCACTATGCCTTTGAATAATAAGAAGCATTTTAAAACAATATTACTATTGACTTTAATATTGATATAAAAAAAAAAAAGTAATAAATTTTGTTGTGTTATATCTACTCTTATATAATGAGAGAAGCTTTGACTTACTCCACAGCAAGACTGATTGACTTCACAGAGCTGTTACCTGGTTCATGATGTATTTATTCTTACAACTTCTGTTCCTAGGTTAAAGTTATAAAAGGTTAAAAGCAACATTTAAAACAGATAAAGTTTATTTCAGCTAAAAATTTCCATCCTGATCAACATTCCTGGGAACCTGGAGAAGAGCAGTTATCATAACACACCAGAAGTTATCACAATAAAGCTATGAGCTGTAACAATAAATGGGAAAATATATACTAACAAAACTGATCATTTGACACTGCAATTTCATCTTATGCAGAACCACTGTGATGACTAAGTTACACCATAGCAAAAATTCATCTATTCCACAAAAATGAATGTTATTGAGTAACATTTTAAAGCATGGTAGTACCCAGCTTTAATATGACTCCTTTGTACCTTAGCCTAGAGATTACATAGATGCATGTTTTCTTCAAACTATTCATTACTAAAATCAAGACAAAATAGTACTTGGTTACATCTTCCACTTTCCCTGCATAATGTAGCATTTAGAATTAAGATTTAAGAGCATTTTGGAAATACAGACTACTTAATGCAAGAACAAAACTTTCTGGTATGATCATATGTTTATGTTGCATAAGATAATACAATCCATCTGCTGGGAAAATCCTTGCTGAATATTGTATCTGTTTTAGCAATAAACATGAATAGAAATCAGGATTATTTTCTTAAAATCTGAAACTGAGTAACAATGAGCCTTACGAAGAAATATGTCTAGGAACCTGAAGCAAATTATAGATGTTAATGTTGGAGTCACTGAGAGCAGTTAACACAATGTAACCAAATGTCAACTGGAATATTTTGCAGTAACTTACTGAAGAGATCTGTGTTTAATGAATATATGAACTCTTGGTTTCTAAATTTCCAACTTCAGATGGCGAAGATTAAGTGTTAAGGGTGTTACTGTAAATGTTTAAGTGAGATGAACATCACCGATTTTCTAATTTTACCACATGGTTTATTTCAGAAGAAAACAAGCACCAGTTAACATAGTTCTCCTGCAAGTCAGTAAACAGTCACACACAAAAACTCAATACAATTTGCTTCTTTGTTTATGTGCAGGATATTTAGTTTGGTTTGCAAAGTATTAGAAGAATAATAAGAACCTCCTGACAGAATACCACAACTAAATTTCTAAAAAGCCACTCAGTTAATCTCAGTGTTGAATCTGGCTGTTTCAAATTATTGTAATGTATAATAACAGTCTTATTGACAATATGGATGCACAGAGCCAAAAAAAGCTAGAAAGAGTGGCCAAAATGATGAACTAAGTGCCAGCCCAAATGACAACAAACATATGGCCATTAACTGAGGAATGGAGGGGTTTAGGAATGCAGCTGTCTGTGGTCTCCTAAAGTTCCAGAGGAATGAAACGCTGTGAGGATTGGCAAAGGCTGGATGAGAAGCCCTACTGAAGATGGTAAGCCCTAAAATGGAGTCAACCAGCAGACCATGCTGGAATTCAGAGATTTCTGTGGTCAGAATATATTCATTCCACTGGCCTCATAATGTACATCAACAAATTAATATTGTATGGATGTCATTTCAAAGCCTACTGAAGACGAAGAGCCATTACTGAAGGCATTAGAGCACAGATGGTTCAAACTATATGCAGATATTCATACTTGCATTTCTGCATTATAGCAGGGGTTTTTTTCTGTTGAACTGTAATGAATTGTCTCATAATCTATTCCATCTTCTTGCCATTAGCAGGCTTTGAATGTTCACAAATAGGAGCAAAGAACTCATTTTCCAGAGCTTTAATCACACAAAGAGGGAATGCCTAATTCTCTAAATGAAATGGTCTGTGATCACTGAAGCAGAGATTTAATATATCACGGCAAATTAGGTAGATTTTAATAAATTACTTATCTCTCTGAATACTTTACATATGCTTATGAAGAAACATAGCCTGTTTGCAAACAGTGGAAATCCAGTCTATAAAATCCTTTGAAGAAAATGACAAATAAAAAAGTAAATTAAAAAATGAAATGTATTATATCCTCATTCTCAAGAGACAATCCTTTTGCAGCATTGATTCACAGCTCCATTAAAAATATCAATTAAACCCTTCACTGAGATTGGTTAAAAGCTGTAAAATTAACTTTCCACACTAGACAGTAGTTATTCAGATACAACAATTTATTGTATATGTTTGATGTAAGTTCTAAAAGTGACAAAACTCAAATGAAAACAGTTGCCCATCCCTAAAGCCCAAAGTAGGTGAAGCAAAATCTGATCGTCTATGGCTTCTTTTTGTGCTTTGACAGATGTTGGCTGCAAGAAAATCATCTCCTGTACAGAAAATGATTGTGCCTGCCCTCCCCCTACTTCAAATTATGGTAACCATAAACAGCTGATTATAATGTTAGTAGAAGGGTAAAAGTTATTTAAAAAAAGGGTGCAGTAATTTAATAAGTCCTGCAACTAGCCTAATTTTTTATATTTAATTGATAGGAACTGCATGCATCAAAGAAAACACATACTGAGATTTAATGTGCATAAAATGGATATTAGCATTTTAAAGAGGCAGATTAACACATTAATCCAAGTAATTTTCATATATTGCTTTTAATAAAATCTTCACAGTATAAAATTCTTAATGAGGCTAATCACAGGCATTCCATTTAACGGGGTGATTAGGGATAACATAAAAGTATTTTTAATCAGTTTTCTAAGGCTTATGGTTTTTTTATTAAAAATTAAAATTTTGACTTGCATTTTTATTACTGTTTTATGTAGGAAAAAAATCTTAAAAATGCAAATAAAGCACGTCATTCAATCATGTAGGTATTAATTATTTACAAGGCGTTGTCCATTGTGGAGATATTCTTAGCCTTAGGGGGGAAATATAAAAACAAACAGACTGAAAAGTATACAAAACTTTACAACTACAAATCAAGCGTCCTTTTCATATAAATTATACATTAAATATACTGTAGGAATTACAAAGATCTCATCTTTGATGCACTATCAAGCATGTATTTACACTGGGAGAAGGCTCTTGTGTAGGCAAACTTCCTTTCATGCCTTGTAGTCATCTTTGCATTCCCCTCTCGGCTGAGGGCAGGCATGCAGGGCTTCCAGTGCTCCTTTGAGCTTTCCAATTACTGCACTGTCATCTTGTGAATCAAAAACTAGAAAGGAAACATTACAAAACAGCATTAGCAGTTTCATTTAAGGTTTCACTTTTGTTCTGGTAATCTTCCTTAGCGTTTGGACAGATTAAAAGGCTCCTAGTGTATGTTTAAAAAAAAAGGAAGAGGTAAATAAATAATAAAGAAAGCTTACTTTTCAGGTACTCAGCCTACTGGAAAATGAGCACTCTAAGAACTAGAATGTACATCAAAGAAACTATCAGGGCTGGAATTAACTCTGAAATAAAACTATTTGTATAATAATTGTGTACATAAATTAGTAATTTTTCACAATGTGTAGATAAAGGTGTTCCAAGCTCTATTGAAAACATATATGCATAATCAGAAATAATTTAAAATAAAAAATATACTAATTAATGCATTTTCTATACTGTGTGTATGATGGGTCCAAGTCAGCCTGGACAATTATTAGTATTTAAATAGCAAGTTCTCTTTCCAGTTTGTGCAATGCAAAATTATTTAAATTCCAAGCTTTTGTGTGTTGTAAAATAGTGAAGTATGAGCAAAGATGATAATTCCCCTAGACTAAACTAACTACCTTCATCTTTGTGTATGTGGGTTTTAAAGCAGTATTTAAAATTTCTATGTTACAGAAATTAGCTGACATGATTTAAAATTGCACTCTTTCACAATATCTAAGTAAGCCCAGAGGGCCAGAATCTCTACTGCTGTGATTAAAACATGCTGCTAAGTCAAAAATGAGGCTCTTTCCCAGTCCTGCACAAAAAGCACTGAGGCTGCCTAACATGACTCTAGAAGGAATTTGAATAAAAACAAATAATCTTGACAGCGTATCTTTTCAAAGCAAATTACACAGCTGACAAATAGCAACGTTATGTATTTAATAATTAGGATAAGTACTCTAGGATATGCAATGATCCTTCATGTTTCAACTTCTAGGCTGCTGGGATAGCTCAGAAGAGGTTTAGAGAAGGGAAAACACAGGATAAACCTTCCATCACTTACCCTGTTGAAAGACCTATTATAGGACAGATTGGATGCTACTCTTAGAGATCCAAAGCATTTTGTATATTCTTGAACAAATCACTCAATGAACTGTCAACTTCAGAGCAGACTTCAGAGGACAGTACTGTTTTTACTGTAAGAACAGGATAACAATAATTAATGATATCAGAACATTAACTCTATTTTATCACTTTTCATATTGTCATATTATCTCTGAGACTTATTGTTAGATGTCTTGACTATAAAGTCTCTTTTTTATCCATCCTCTTGCTTAGCCATGCACGTAGTTGCTTCAAATTTCATGGAGGCCACTTCCACACAACCAGCAATGAAAGGAACAAGATATGAAAAGGATCCATCCTTGCAGTCCTCAAATAGAGTGAATGAAGCTCAGGGTATCTAAGAATGACTACATCTTTATGTGGTATTTTTCTGTGTCTAAGTTTATTTTTTTCCCTCCAAACAATATCCATCTCAGAGAAAATACACATATTACTCAGGAATTCTATTTATCTATTTAACATTTAATTGAAGTTGATGTCCAGATCTTGACAACAGATCCTTTTTAAAGAAATTTGTCTAAGAAAATACAGTAACATGCTCTTCTGCCATGATCTGACATATATTAATGCAAAGTTCATTTTGATTCTCTGAAGTTTCTAAATTTTCAGAAAATAACATGTTATGGATTCAACAGAAGAACATAAGTGCACAGCATCTGCAAGGAAGGGCAGAAGTGTGGAAAAGAAAAAGAAGAAAAGAATTTTTAGCTTTTACTATCACTTTAATAGATATAATGGATATACAGTAAAAATGAGTTCAAATGTCTTATGATTAGGGAAGAAATGCTTCTAAATATTGAAGTAGCTGTCATTACATAATAATGATTAACTTTTGACAGAACAATAACTAGTAACAAAAACCAGTCCCTTCCTGTCATAATAATCCTCTCGGATGATTATGATTTTTAAGAGTTTTGAGAGAAGGTAAAAGATTATATGTATATCAGTAATAAATCTTATCAAATAGTAATTATGACAATGGGAATTATGGCCTTAAAATACAGAACAAAAACAATCTTCCAGTGAGAGACTAAAAATACCTTTTTGGAGGAGATGTGCTTTTGTACAACTACTTGGAGAAAAAATTATCAGTGCAGAAAAACTGAAGTGTTCAGCCACATTAAAAAGTGCATCAAATTCATGTGTTACTGTTCCAGGGTGTGGAGATTTGATTCTTTGCATTTTCCTTATCATGTTCCTGAAACTTTGAGTATTTATACTCTTCTTTGAGTATTTTAGCTACTGCATGGATGCAAATCATGTATGGTAATGGAAATGGTAAAAAGTCTATTTCTTTCTCTTAATACTCAGCTCAATACATAGCTGAGTAATTTCCCCCAAGAACAGAAGTAGCAAAGTCACCCTGGCCTGGCATTCCAGTAGGGCAAACTGGAATTCCTGCTCTGCAAAGGGCACCTTGTGTGCACCGTGTCCAGGCTTGGAGCTGCTTCATGAACCCACTGAGGGATTGCTTTATCACAAAGATACTCTCAGCTCCTTCCCTGAGCTTCACCACAACAGTAAAGAGGATTGAAATCAAGAGGGAGGAAATGCACCATTAGTAATGATGCATTTGCTATCACAGGCAACAGGAAACCCTAAGCAAGAATATTTTCCTTCCCTGTCTGTGAGAGGACTGAGTAACCTTCTCCAGCCTTCCTATGAGCACTAGAAAAACACTCAACACTACAAAAACACACAAGGGAATATTCCACAGCTCCTACTCAGCTCACTTGCTTTGGGAAGGCACAGTGAAGTGCTGGTCACAGGATTTTCCAGAGGGGTGCTCAGGATAAAGTGACCCCTAACCAAGCCCCCAATATTACACCCACACTGTCTCAAATACAGTTTGGTATGGAGGACACAAAACCCTGCACTACCCTGGGTTTATACTGGAACCTTAAATAAGATACAGACATCAGCAATACAGAATTACTGACATTTTAATACATATATATATATATAGATATATATTTATAGTCCTATTACAATGAATCTATTGTACAAAATAGAGAATTACAGGAACAAGACATGTCCTTAAAGTTCTTAGGTTTTATAAACTAATTACTATGAGTGGGGGATGCTCTTTGGTTTTGGTTTTTTTAAACATGTTTTAAGGAATGACAGTAATAGCTTCTGCAGACTTTTGCAAATAAATGTGGAAACCTTCAGTTAACAGAAAAGAATTTCTTCTTGACACTATGTCAAACAATTACTGTCACAGTAAATCTTGAAGAGAAAAGTAGAAATTCAACAAATCATTTTTAAGCTACAAAAGTTTACAGGAAATTGGTCTCTAAAACTCACCACCAATGGCTTGTTCAATGGTATTTCTTTGCTTCTGGAATATATTTTTCAAACAGATTCAGCATAATCAGTATCTTCACGTTCAAGTTCTGCTCATGTTCTGGGGTATCACTGAGCACTGTAAATTTTAGGGTAAACAAAAAAAAAGCATTCAAAAAGGATTAAAAATCAACTCTAAAAACCAGAAAAAAAGGCAAAACTGCATTATGTTTTTTATTCTTCCACTACATAAGCAAGAACTCTTTATCAATTAAATTCAACATTTTCCATGACAAGAATAGTCCAAGATCCTCTCTTTTAAATCTTCCCTTCTTCTTCAGTATTATTTAGCAGTACTAGAAGGACAGAGAAGTTGCAGCCATAGATGCACAGACTTACAGAAATGTTTCATTTTTGTTCCCCCTCCCACCACCCCATGGTACAATTGTTTATTTGGCTATACAAACAACTACACAAAATATATGCTTTTCTTCTGTGAATTTAAATTACACCCATTGCGTCCAAGTATGGCTTTCCTTTCAAACACACAATTCTAGTATTGTGTTGGAGCTGGCTTGAGTTAGTGGCTTGTGCTGGGGCCAAAAACACCGAGACTGACAAAATGACAGGAATTTAGAGCTAACATTTGGTATGTCTTGGCAACATTGGTCAAGCTGTGAATGTTTGTGAGCTTTACAACCTAAAAATGTTACAATAGGCATAATTTCAAATGGGTTGGCATCAAGTTACGTTACATCCAAGGCTACAGGAAAGGATATCTTACACAAAATATGAACACATGAATAAAGCTATGGATAGTGTTACTCTCCTATATTTCTCTTTGGGATCCCAGGCTTTCTCTCTGGCTGATTTCCACATTTCTTTTCTGTAATACCCAGGTATAAGTACACACTTCCTTGTAGGAATTCCAAACCTACTGAAGAGGAAGAAATTTTAACACCTTGTTGAAAAGCCTTTTGAGAAGATAATTTCTAGGCGGTGCAAGAAAAAAATAGAGAACTAAATGAAACTTATTTTTCAAAAGAAAAGTGAAAAGACAGTAATTGCTTTGAGTTTAAAGCATGTTTTACTGTGAAAACCTGAATGATTATTTATTTTTCTTTTTAGAACAACACTTAAAGGCATTATCACAGCAGGTAATTTAGAGCAACTGGACAGAAGCTCTTATATATGCAAATTTGATCCAACTTTTAAATTTTTTATTCCAAAGGCCAGAGTTTTTAAGCAGCAAGTATAAAACTTTGTTCATGAATTCAGTATATTAATGTGAAGCTTACACCTTACACATGCTCTATTCTATAACATGGAGGCACAGATTTTGTTACTTTGGGGAACAATGACTTCATATAGCCTGTTCCTCGGAATAACAATCATTTCCCACCAAGAAATGATGCACCTGTCAGGATCAGCCTGGAAACCTCTTGCATAAAGCTGTTCACTCTTGTTATCACAGCAGGGTGACTGTTAGAAGAATGGATTCCTCCATTCTCCACATGTGTCTCTGCTGACACTTGTCAGAGGAGCAGACTCTGCCTCCAGGTCTCAGCACTTCAGCTGCAGCCTGGCATGGGGAATCAGGCAAGGCTCACTACACAACTGAAATTTCTACACTCTTAAAATGCTGAAAGGCAGCACTGGAAGAAAAAAATTAACTAGGACACATTTACGAAAAGTTACATGGATGGTCAGAAATTGGGTCCTGTTAACTGAATAAGAGACTTCAACATGAAAGTAGGTAATGATGGGGAAAGTAGATAAATATTTGATGCTGAAATAATAATTCTGTATCCTGTTTTTATTCCAAAGTTTTACAAATATTAGCAAGTGTGTCTTCCTAAAATTAATAAGGAATTATAATCCCCATTATGCAGAAAAAAAACCAAAATAAAAGGCTACCCATGTCACACAATACAGGCATAAGAAAAGCAAATATTCTGACAAAATCTCCATATTTATGACAGAGATAATGACTGCCTGAAAACATTAAGAAAATATGATTGTCAAAAGAGGAGTACCATCTTTGTGGTTTGCAACAATTAGTAACCTAAAAAGGATTTCAGTCTCCTCTACCTCATGCTTTTGTATTTTACATTTTATAACATTCTATTTAACAACCTTTTTTTCTTGATTTTTTGATACTGATTATTTTTGCATTTTCTGCAGCTAAAGCCATTAATTCAAATGTGGAGCTAAAATTAACATTTCTAGTAAACTTCTAAAATTATTCCATACCAAAAAATGAAATTGAAAGCAGAAAAAAACTCAACTTTATTTTGAAATCTTTTATTAATGAAGAGTGAATTCCACTCCAAACAAATTTTAGACTGGATATCAAGAAAAAAATCATTCACTGAAAGAGTTGCCAAGCCCTGGAACAGGCTGCTCAGGGAACTGGTGGAGTCACTATCCCTGGAGATATTTAAAAGTGCATTGCTGGGTTATCAGTTGAACTCGATGACCTGAAAGTTCTTCTCCAACCTAAATAAATTCCAACGAGCATTTATCTATTTGTAAGCATAAACTAAAAGGGTATAAAGCTGCAAAATGCATTATTTTCAAGGTCAAATTGGTTCAGTTTCAACTATAGAATTAGCCTATAGTTGCAACTTTGGCTTAGCGATAATTTTATGAATTATAATAGTATATCTTTTTAAAGAGCTATTCATTAAAGTGATTCTTCTTTTAGAAGACAAAAATAGCATGTGATTTTTCCATTTATTTATGTTCTAATATGGATCCAATCATTATGAGTATCATTTCCAGCAACATTCATTGTGACAGGAAAAAAATAAATTAATACACTACTTAATAGACATAATACACTGCCTATGCTGCTATAATTTGGCCTAGCACAAACACCAATAAAGTGTCAGGCTAAACCATCTGCAGGCAATTTTCAATGATATTTATATCCTTGATAATTTGGTTTCCTGAGCTTTAAAGCATTAGTTTAGTTCAGTTCCTGTTTCAGCTGAAAAAGCTCATACCAGTTTGTAAGGCTTGTGATAGAAAACACGTGTTGGAGATAGAACTAGGCCAGGTTTAAAATGCACAGAGTTGGAAACTTTGGCTGTATGGGCACAATCTTTCCACAAATTTTCTTTCTTGGTGGTCCTCTTGCTAGGATCAAGTGGGGAGCTGGACTACTGATGAACTTCCTGTCTTCCCATTTAGTCAGTGCAGAACTGAAATTTCCCCATGAGCCAAGGCAGAGACACCAATGACTGCAGAGCACAACCCACCCACAAACACAGGGACAGCACCATGGCAGAAAGATGAACCCTCCTGTTCAGAGAAAAAGCTCACTGCTGTAATCTTACCTTACCTTCACCTTAGGCTTGTAAAATAATTATTAAAAATATCCAGGTATTTAGAGGAGAAATCACAGCACACTGACTAGCTATTTTCCTGTGCTTAATTTATCCCTCAGCAAAAAAAAGAAAAAAAAAAAAAGAAAAAAAAAGGAGTCTTTTATCCTCAGTATTGTCAAATTTTAGTAGAACATTTTCCACTTTCCTGTTTTATATGGTAGAATTAGTCAACTGCTTGCTTATTAAGCATTTTTCAGGTTTTTTTTTAAACTCTAAACCTAAGAATTGTTTTGGTATGATATTTCCATCCCAACAAGTAATCATTTCATGGTGTTCCCTGCTCCATTCCAGTAAAACCTGTTTTCTGGCAAAGACATGAAACTCAGATCTAGAAATGAAATGAAGAGAGATCACTCCTCCTTGGAGTGAATCAGTGATTTGTGAATAAATACATATTTAAAAGATTTACAAGTAACTCCAACATGTCAAATATGATCAGCATGTATCCTATTCTTTCTCAAATCAAATGAATCTTTAAATTAGTGATTATTCCATTTTAATGATTGACCTTCAAGAGAAAATGTAATCAAAGGATGTCATTCATTCTGTATAAGTAATGTACATACTATCACAATCAAAAAAATTGAATATGAACAAATTTATTATTATTATGAAATTGAACAAGAATAATTTATATTCTTTCTCATGTGTATTCACATAATACCTGCCTACTGATTGATTTATCTATCTATTTATTTGTTTCTGGAAATTCTAGGGCCAAGGAACACTTCGTACACCTCTTAGACTCTTAGCAGTGTCCTGAATTCAGAAAGCAACAGATGTCCTACACTAAACTGGGCAGATATGTGCTTTTCAGATTCATTAGTGATGGAATACTGGTGATAGATTCTCTCTTCTGTGGAACAGATTTTTTAAAAACAAACCAACCAAACAAACAAACTCCCAAACCTAACCCCGAACCACAGCACTAAACCAGCATTAGGTGAGGTTGCAGAATTCCATGCCACATGAACCTACACTAGAAAGAAATAAAAGCAATTGTCCCATCAGAATGCAGGTATCATTTCTAGCTGAAGCAATTTTTTTCTAGTTAGTTAGTTAGGTATTAACTCCTCAGTCCAACCTCCTCAAAAGAGACCAACCACAAGGTGAACCACAAGCATTATTTACTGAGATCTAAACCAGAGTTTTCCAGCACTAACATGAACCTGCCAATGTGCAGATCTCGCTTTAGAACAGACCTGAGACCTCTGTCTGCACAATTATCTGCCTTAACCACATTCATCATGCAAAGCAAATCAGAACTACTATTAGTATCAAATGTTTTTCACCTTTAAGAAGAGCATGAGAAAAACAACAAAGAAAAACAAACATTTCTTTCTTTTCTTCTAAGGAAAAGCAACAATGCTAGAATCAAATTTGAAAGGTCATGTGATCTAACGGTGTGTCACTGGCAGGTTTATGTGCACACTGTCAAAAAAGATACAGGCAGCATCTAAGCATGCCACATAGCTGTCACTTTCTGTTAATGGCAATAGCACTCATGATTTTAAAAGCCAGTGGTCTTTATTGCTTTGTATTTGAAGTGATTTACTGCATTTTCTTCCACTGAGGAAGCCAGTGATAATGATAATGTATGGCAGAGTGCTTGTCCTTTCTGACAGCCTCAGTAATTTAATCCTCCTTTCCTGCCACAATATTTCAATAAGAGAAACCTCTAGACCAATGGACTGGAGAAAATCCACAGCCTGGGGAGTGTGAGTGAGTGCTCTGAAAGCTTTTCATTGTTTTAATTTAAAATACAAACACAGGGATCAGCTTTTAATTTTTGTACTATTAATATGACCTAGAGTGAAAGTTAGCCTTGGTTTGGAAAACACACTAGAAGAATGAGAAGCAGGGCTTTAAGAAATTCTTTAAGAAGTTTTTGGGCATCTTATATTAGAGAAAGTAACTGCTTGCCTGCAAATGTTATCAGTCTGCAAATATCAGCAAAATACTGTGAAAGATTATAAAGACTAAAAAGGTTTTACAGGAATTTTTTAATAAATAAAAAAATAAATGAAACTGAAAGGGTTTTGCTAGGACAGAACTAGAATGAATGTAGCCCCCTAAGAATCAAACATAGCGCTTCAGAATAGTTTTCATTTGTTTTTGAGGGGAGAAGGTGGAACTAGAAATTAGTCTGTCATTAAACTCCAACATTGTTCATATTCACTTTTTTTCTAGTTACTCTGCCACTGTACTCACAACAATTCTTTTTGATTCTCCACCTCACAGTAAGGTTTCCTCTTCCCCTGTGCAGACAGAAATCTTTAACAAATCTCATACTGTCTTTTGCTACACAAAATAAACTTATTTGTATGAACAGAAACTATCAACTCTGCTATGGAGTGAGATATTGGAATACAGCCAAATGAGGACATAAGAAGCCCTCAATTCCTGTAGAGGGATTTATTGAAGGACACATCTCTATGAGTCCTAGGGAGCCCATTTCCCAGAGCTGTAGATTTTTCAGTTTTCCCTAAAGCTCTTGCCCAGCTCATTCATGGCAGCAGAAGTGCAGTTGGGAATGGGTTGGGAATGGGTTGGGAATGGGTTGGGAATGGGTTGGGAATGGGTCAGGAATGGGTTAGGAATGGGTCAGGAATGGGTCAGGAATGGGTTAGGAATGGGTTAGGAATGGGTTAGGAGTGGGTTCCTGGCACAAACAGCCAGGCCAGTGCCTGAGTGGCTAAGTCATTCAACCAAAGGAATCTGCAATTTGCCACCTTTTTCTCTACCAACAGAAAGAAAAGCACTGGCACTCTGCCTTTGAATCCTTAGTTTCCACTCACAATTTCTTACTTTCTTAGGTTATAAGAAGCTGTTATTGTCATCTGCTGTTCTTTTGGACATGTGGATGACTTTCCACATGTGCTGCTCTCATGGCCAAGCGCTCCTAAGGCCACCACAGGAAGTGATGGGGAGGCAGCAGGGAGACAGATGGACAGCCAGAGAACTTCAAAGGAAATGCCACATCAACAGATCCTTCCCTTTCCCATAAGCATCCCAAATGGAATTTCCTAAGTTTATTAATACTGTATCTAAAACAATTTTAAATGCAAATTATTAACAAACCTAAAGAGTTCAAACTCATTTCACTCAATGGAAAAATTCAGACTAGTAAGTCATACATTCCGCACAAGAACTTCATTCAAGTCTGGGGAAAATGATTAACCAGAGTGAAAATATATTTTTAGATCCTGATGAATAACATGTTTTCATAGCACCCCTTAGTACTGCCTGAACTTAGAAGCATTAACATTGCTGCAAGGCATGGAACATCTCATATTTCTATCCAATTAATTGCAAAAATAATTCAAAATTAACTCATGACAGTTTGTCTCTAAAATTACAATTTTAAAGTTAGTCCTAAAGAAGTAATAAAAGCTGAAGACTACAATGACCATGGAACCTTGTTAGAAATCTCTGCAATTCAAAATATTGCTCTTCTGCTATAGTTCAGTTTTTTCACAGTTCACATCCTAACACAACTGAACAACTAGATGATGAAGCAGATTTTCATCAAATGAAGAAAAAAATGCTCTACAGTCTTGAGATTATTGTAGAAAAGGAATAAACACACAGAATTATAACAATGTTTCCTGACGCAAAGCCTTAACATTTGAAGTATCCACTTTCTGAATAAGGATCTTCAGAAATTTATTTTTAATGAAAAGTACATCCCATCTTTCCCAAACCTCTCCTCTCTACTTCCACTTGTACTTCAAGTTGTTCAAATAGTCACGTTTCTAAGAGAGAAAAGTTTTTGCTTCCCAATTAGATTTGATATAAAACCTTTGCCAGGTTTCATAAATTTTCCTTCTATTACTGCTCTCTGTTCTCTAGGACCACAGTATAATTTGGCAATTTTCACTGCTCTTTGAATGTATGGGCCTGAAGTGTTTGGAGGCATTCTTGGATATTCTAATATGTCTTTTCAGTGGTACCAAACACAATAGGTCCTCTCAGTCACTCTGGTCATCAGGAGGTACCCCACAATGTCAAGGGCAATCAAGAGGTTTGTACCATGATCCTAAACTGTCTAAACTCCCCCATCCAAGTTTCTATTCCAAGACTCTGGAAGAAAGAAAATGATCTTCTAACCATTCTCAGTGAAAGAGTCATAGTTGAAAAAACCCAATTAATGCTAAGTTACATGCTTGAACCAGCTGTGAAAATGGAAATTCATGGGATCTTGTATGTACAGATTACTGAACTCTACTATATTGTTTTTCAACAAGGTTTTGTTAATTTTCTCTATCTCACATGCCAAACAATGACAGTGAAAAATGTGCAAATAGGATGGGAAAAACTTCAAATGTTTTTAAAGCAATGAATCTCATGAAGCCTTCTGTAACAGTTAAGATGTTTTTAAAACAGTCAATCTGTTCCAGTTATAGATAATATAAAATGCTTTATTTATTATAAGAATTAGTGATTTTTTTAGATTACTTATGGACTTACTCCAATTTTCTCCATGCAAAAGTCTAAAAGACTATTAGTTTCCTTCTAAGCCCAGAGTAAATTTTGTTCTACCCATGCAAATCTCGTTTTTATTAAAGAAAATATTCAATTAACCTCAAATATTCAGCATACTCAAATCTAATTAGACATGAATAAGGGATGCAGCAAAGCTATAGTAAACACACATGCAGATTTCATTACTATTATCTTACTGGCTTCTCAACTGGTATTATCAAAAAGCAGACTCATTAGGTTTTTCCCCCTATGCACAAAGCTAATCTTGAGTAGAAATTAGACACCCAATTATCTAAGCAAACCTCTACAAATAACAACCACGTTATTATAATGCTGCAGAATACAGTCCTGAAGCAATTAAGGCCACACCCCACCTTTTAATGTTGATTTGTTGGGATATTTTGAAGTTCAAACAGTTTTATAATCCATACCCAAGCAGTAAATAGAAAAAGAAAAGTTGCACAGCCAAGTTATGATTAACAGAAATAATAAAATACAGCACTACTACATTGGAAACCCTTATGAACTACAGTCTCTCCAAAGAATGATGCTAT